GGCATGAGTGGGGATCAGGTAAGTAAATATACTTTACTATACTTTACTCCAGTTCCTAAACAAACCCGAAATGCTTGCAAGGGTAGCCCCACTGCACAGGCACTTTTTTTTGTTTGTCTGAAAATAAGCTTTAAGCTAGCCATACACCAGGAGAATATTGTTTCAAAATTTTTATTTTTCACACTTGATGCTTATTCTCCTTCTTTAAAAATATATATTTCCTCCTTGTTTGGCTGGTCCCAAAATCACTGCCCTGCCTTCCTGTGTTTGTTGTATTTACCTAGTAGGCTTCTAAGGATCCCCAGCAGAGCCAACTGTGCATGCATGCTCCCATCCTTACATACACAGCCAGTATCAGCCCCTATATTTTTTAAAGGAGCATACAGGCATTGCACAATAAATGCTGGGACATGTGATCCTGAGCAGTGAATCAGCTGACTCCTGATGATGCTGTAAGCACGCTTTCCAACTGAAACCTCAAATTTGTCAAAAGATGAGCTATTCTGGATTTTGCTAAGAACAATCCTTTACTGCCATGTGCTCTTTGAACCTATACAGATGTATATCTGATTAAATACACTGGGCTTTAGAACTACTTTACTTAGGTTTTAGACTAAGGGTTAAGTTTAGAGGTCAGAGTTGGTAATAATCTTAAAGTGTGTATATAGCCAAAACACATTATTAGTTTTGTATAGAGGTAGAAGGATTAGAAACCCTGTCAGGATTTACTGCCATTGAAGGCTCCATTGAAGAGATTTTATTCACTTCCTGTCTGAGCAAAAGGGTGTCACCTGGAGAGGAAGTGAGGGAAACTCTCAGCAACACAGACAAAAGGTAGAAGGAATGCTAGAAACTCAGTTAGATTATTGTTGGCAGTTTCTCTGTTGCAGATTTCCCATCACTTCCTGTCTTGTAAATACCTGACCAGGATTCTAACCTATCCCCATTCTATACAAAACTAAAAAAAAAAGTTTAAGTTAAGCTAAAGTTTAAGTGTGAGGGTTTTGTTGAGGTTCAGTAGTTAGGTTTACCTTCAGGTCCACTCCTCTGCTGATTGCCAGCAGGCAGTGGGCGGGTGCAATAGCCAGCCTGCTATTGCAATTTGAAATAGCCAATAGCAGGCTGGTTATGACTTCCCCTGCTATCTGCTGTCTTTCTTTGTATTCTGACAGCGCCCGAATACACGTGCTCTAAGGCTGCCAGCACTGTTTCTAGGTAGATTTACTAACTGGTTCCTTCGATCAGCTGATCGAGGGATGCTGGCCAGGCAGCAGCAACCACTGTGTGCGAATTTTACTGTGTTTATTATTGGTATTTGTACAGTGTTTATTATTGGTAATATCGGTACATTTAACCAATAATTAAAAAATGCTTAAATATTGGCCCCGATTATCGGTAGATCCGATAATCGGTCAATCCCTACTACTTAGAACAGATTCACATACATTTTGGAAACATGTACATGATTTTGTCACTATGAGCCATGGTTTTGGTTGCACATGGACTAGAGTGTCCATACACTCCATCCTTAGCGCATGTTTAGCTCCTGGGCCATACATCGTTACTGGTTGTTATGTTGCTGTGCAGCCAACAGTGTTATAGCAATGAATGACACTGTGGCCTGACTGCATCCTAGTAAGCAATGACATTGTGGGCTAATGGTGTCCTAGCAGCCAGTGATGCTGTAGATTGACAGTGTCCTAGCAACCAGTGGTTTAGTGGGCCAACAGTGTCCTAGCAACCAGTGGTTTAGTGGGTCAACAGTATCCTAGCAACCAGTGGCTTAGTGGGCCAACAGTGTTCTAGCAACCAGTGGTTTAGTGGGCCAAAAGTGTCTTAGTAACCAGTGATGCTACCAGTCTACAGGATCCTAGCAATCAATGACATAGTGGGATATTAGGGAGGAGGGGGGCGGAGCTATGATGGAGTAGTGAAAAAAACTGTGTACTAGTTTCTGAGTACAGTGCTGCTGCGTGTGTGACTACAATGGAAGTATATTATCAGAATATTAGGATTATTAAGAATATTAGGAAGACAGAATAAGATGTGGACAAATGCATACAGGAAATGTACACTTTGTGAATTTACAGCATCTATTTAAAGGTATATATGGAGACTAAATGGATATAGAATTTTAAATATAGAGGGTGAAGGATGTTAAAATGGTACGCTGAAGCAAATATTACATTTTTGTTTTATGTCTTTAGTGACGCTTTATAATGGCAGAGATTTCATCATGCTTTTTGGCTGCAGTATCGCCGGCAATTACTGTGCCAATAATGTACAAATGTGAAGCAACCCTTTCATTTTATTCACCACAGATGGGTATAAAGCAGTGTCCGCCTTTTACTATAAGATGGAGAAAACCTATTTATTTACTTAAAATGAAATATTCTTCTGTGTACAGAACTTGAGACAATGGAAATGTTATTTACCCTTCCTGTGTGGAGGGTTAGGCATTTCAGAATAAAAGATGTTCTACATCAACATTGGTAATAGAATGTCTGCTGTGTATGGGAAATATCTTCCACTCAGGACCAGTATACCAGGACTACAAGCTTCTTTATTTAATATAGATACTAATAACATTTGCAAATATATACAGTAACAAAATGCTCATTAACATCATAAAAAGTAATGACTAATTACAGAAATATGGAGGCTACCATTGCTGACCTCCTTGTGAAAATGCTGGTTGTCTGGATATCTCTGGCACCAATCCACTCAAGAACCAAGAACAAGTATGAAGAACTATAATGCCAGTGTGAAGTCAAACGTCAAATCTGCATGCTTGTTCTAGGTTGGTGACTTAGAAAGTACTGAAGCCTGCTGGATCATGATGACAGCCAGGGAAAAAGCATTTTTAGAGGGAGAGGTCAGTAATAGCAGTCTCTATGCTTTCTCACTACAGCTTTCCTTTAAACTCTATGGTGCAATCAGACATTGTAGGTGAAAGGAGCCATACAGACAACTGCCAGAACATATTATTTCATTGGATTACTGTGTGCTGGAGAATATCAGAATATCTCCTCTCACAATTCCACATTCATCTCATGACAATAGTTCTGGTATGCCCATCAAACTCATCATCATTTTGGAGTTTATGTTTACTGGCCCTTTAATATATATCTATCCCCAAAAACAAAAAATGAATATATTGCCGCTTAGTTGTCCTTTGATGTAGTGGCTGCATTAGTTTTCCTTTTTTAGGCTGAGAACATTTTCAACACCTACAGAAAATACCTGGTTATATTGCCATAAATGCTGTGTCCTTGTCTCTTCCGGTGAACTGATCTGGCAGCACAAACAATCTTAACTTCCTTGCATGCGGTGCCCCCGCCCCAAGTAACAGAGATGAAGAGAGAAAGACGTAGGCCAATTTAAGAGAGCAGCCTATTGACAACTATGGCTCTCTTCATAGATACAGTGGAGGAGGGGTTTGTAGTCCAAACCAGGAGGGAAGCCTATTGACAACCATGGCTCCATCCATAGATACAATGGAAAAGGGATTTGTAGTGCAAATCAGAAGAGCAGCCTAGTGACAACCATGGCTCTGTCCATAGATTCAATGAAAGAGTGACTTGTAGTCCAAATCAGAAGAGCAGCCTAGTGACAACCATGGCTCCCTCCGAAGATACAGAGGAGGAGGGGTTTGTAGCCCAAATCAAAAGAGCAGCCTAGTGACAACCATGGCTCCCTCCATAGATACAATGGAAGAAGAATTTGTAGTCCAGATCAGGAGGGTAGCCTAGTGACACCCATGACTGCCTCCACAGATACAGTAGAGGAGTCAGCGTAGCCACCCAGGCACAGGAAGTATATTATTCACAGGTCCAGCTGGTAAAAAAATAAAAGGAAAAAGCCTGAAAAATGAAAACAAATGCATGCACCACATCTAAGGACAGGCAAGCTATTGATTTGGATTCAGACATGCTTCACGTTTTGATTTACTCTGAAACTGGTGTCAGTGTATTGAAGGAATGCTATTAATAGCTCTTTAATGCAATCAAAGCTATCATTTAGATTTAGTGCCCTTTTACACACGTACAGAAGATGTACATTAGGTTGAATGAAAATGAACTTTGTCATCACATTTTCATACCTTAGTGCTCCACTGGGAATATTCTGGGTAACAGATGAACAAGAACTGGGAAGTTGTACTATGCTACAATACTGTGCCTGGATTCACAACTGCAAACCGCCACACTGACAGTAACTAAAACATTTTACTCGCTCTCACCCCCCTTTTTAGTTAAATGAACAATAACACAATTGTAGAGCAATTTCAGGACCATTCCAGCGCAGCCTGGGAACAATGTAGCTGTGAACAGCAGCAGGAAAAATGACATCTCTCTTTTGTCAGGTTTATGCAAACTAGTTGGTTGACAGAGAGAAAATGATACAATACTATCACCAAAGTGACAGCTCCTTCCCAGGCAACTGCATCTTTCCAGCACAGACAAAGGAAGATGTACATTTGTATGTGTTAAACCACAAAGGGAGACCCATCTTTTAACATAGCCCCATTACAGAGGGAGTCACTGGAATGCAGCCTGCACATTAGACCCAAGCAGAAGCAATACATAGCAGCCCATGGTGACATATACACAATTCATTATTAACGATGTCCAGTATGGAATATTAACATAGCCCTCTCAGGACAGAGTAATTCAGCAGCATGTAGATAGCACCCAGACACTGGCAGTAATAGCCCCTAGTCACATGAAGTGTCAAATCACCTAGTGCCACCTAAAACCACTCAGTGATCAGATCATAGCATGGCATAGGAACGAAGCCCTGACAATTGATCAATGTGTAATATATCATCACTTGCATGAACAGGGGAAGAAATACAGCAGCAGAGACAATCCAGCAATCTGAACATTAATAGCCATTTTACTACACAAAGCGACAGACAGCCCAACTGAGATAGCAGAAGCAAGTTCAGTGCTCATCTTACGGGAGGGTTATGTAAAAGTGCCTGGAAGGGCTTTACTCACCATCTGTAAAGTGCAGATAAAGATCAATGTGCAGCGCCCAGTACAGCAGCCCATCGTGTGATCGCACTACTCCTGGAGTCGGCCGGACGGGCTCTGGAGTGTAGCTGGACAGCTCCTTAGGCGTAGCTGCACTTTCTTAGGGCTGCTGTCAGATTCAGCACCTGCACAGCTCGGCGATACTATAGATCCCAATGTACAATCTCCCGGCAGTACAAGAAGAGAGCCAAATCCCAAAGCGTGTGCACTGATCCCAAATCACCACCAAAAATCCCAAACACGGACCAAGATCTAGCACAGAAATCCAGTGTTCAGACCTCTCCTTCCTTTCTTCTCTTTAGCGTTTGACTTCTCATTTCTACAAGCCGGATCAAGGCTTTCTGCTGCCATCTGCTGTGCTAAGAATGCATACCATCCCAGGGTTACTACTACACTCATCTGCTGCCTCTCTCTATCCCCCAACGTCTCTCTTCTACTCTCTGCTCCCCCTTCTTTTTCTCTCTCTCTTCTTTTTCTCCTCTTCCTCTGCTGTCTCTCTCTCTCCCCCTCTCTTCCATGCCTCTGTCTCTTCTTCCTCTCTCTTGTTTCTCTCTTTCTCTGCTGTCTCTCTCCACCCTCTGCTCTACACCCTATTTTATCTCACTCTTCTTTTTCTTCCCTCCCCCTATTTCTCTCCTCTCTTTTTCTATTGTCTCTCTCTCCCCCTCCTCTCTTTCTTCCTTCTCTCCTCTCTTTTTCTACTG